TACGCTGAAAGCCCTTAGGGACTAGGTTTTTTTTAGGCCGCCCGGTGAGTAAAAGCGCGCGAATTCAAACTTTTAAAATTTTTTCGCTTGTTTTCACTTTTTTTTCGGTTTTTTCAAACGTTTTCTAGGTTTTTGTCAATGTTTCTTTTAGATACATCGGAAAATTTGAAAAAACAGTGAAAACGAGCGAAAAAATTTTAAAAGTTTGAATTCGCGCGCTTTTACTCACCGGGCGGCCTAGAAAAAACCTCGTCCCTAAGGGCTTTCATCGTATTTTTCGATGCATTTTTCTCGATGAAGGAATTTTTTTTGAATTTTTTCTTTATTTTTATGTCAATCTACATGCATTTCTGCACATTTTGATGCAATAAAAAATTTCACCGTACACCACCTTTAAAACAACTTTCTCCTAAAATTTCTTTCTGTCGAAATATGTCATTTGTGACCGCAAAAGTGCCGAAAACAGCACTGAAATGGGAGTTGTGTCGCTTTAAACCAGTTTTCTTGCTCGATTGGATTTGTATGAAAAAGTTGACAATTAAAAAATGAAGCCCTATTTTTTTTAAAGTATACTCTGAAATTTTCAGACCAATCGAAAATAACTGGACAACTTTTTCAGTACTTCAAAGTTGCCTACCTTCCACTGAAAAGGGAAAGTATGACATTTTTTCATTGGTACTAAATATACCAAACATTCAAAATTTTAATCACTTTCAAAAATTTTACCCCAACATAAAAGAGAAAATATTTCACTAACCTGTATCACAGAAAAATATCAAGCATAGCAGGACAAATTCCTCGTTGGTAATTTTGAGCTGTATAATTTTTCTAACTATTCTCGATGTTATTATATTTTTCGATATGTTTACATCTTCCAATTTCGCCAAGAAATCATCAGAATTGTAATCTCGTCCATCTGGAGATTTAACTCGTTCCCATTTGCTCTGATAAGCACGCATGGCACCAACAAAAAGGCATAGTTTCAAAGTATTGAACTTCAAAACATAGAATTTGTCCATAGTGGGCAATTCGGATATAAAATCAAAATCTAGAAAATATGAAGCTACAAGATAGTTGAGCACAAAGGACCAATCAAATAGGGTTGCTGAATTTTTGATGCCGGATTTCTTAACGCAGTTTCGATTCTCCAGAATATCTTCCAACGTTGGATCATCCGTTGAATAGAATTCAGATAACTTTTTACACCTTCTTGAATCCTTTTCGATCAAAAAATTCAAAATCTGAGATAATCCATCGATTTCTGGAATTTCCGCAACTAAATTATTGATCATTCCAACTTCCACACATTTTTGAAATCGACAAAATCTGCATTTTAGTATCAGATCGTCTCGACAGTTTCCAAAATTATCACAATGATACTTGTAATTGTTTTCGGTTGTTCGTTTAAAGAACATCTTGCATGCATTGCAAGAGAATGCCTGTAACCATTTTATTCGTAACTTTATCAGGAAAAGAAATACCGTAAACAATGATAGGAAGACCCTAACTAGTTTTCAACTTTGAGTCATTTTATCTCGCTTCCTGTAAGAAATATCAAAAAGTGGTCAACTGATAAAATATTGCCGATATTATGATAAACATTTTATCAGTTTATCACTTTTTGATATTTTTTGCATGAACCCAGATAAATTGTCTTAAAGTTGACGGTTTGGGAGCCTTTCTATTAGAGTGTTTTCAGTAATTCTTACCCCATAGTTCCGACAAATGGCTGGGCGGCCGCAAATCGAACAAGTGGATTCTGGTTTGGATTGAGAATTATTTTTATAGGAGACCATTGATGAACGAGGCGATGAATCCATATTACAATAAGAGTAGAAAATTAAAATTTTAAAATTCAGGACCAAATAAGGTCCTTTTCAGAAAAAACAAATATAAAAAATGATTTCACTCTTTAAATAAAGCAGAAAAAAAAATAGACCAAGTGTTCAATAAATATAGAAACCTTTCAAAAAGAGATTCAAAAAAATATTTCCGGAGGATAAATGTTGACAACAAACTCCAAAATCCGACCGAGATGTTTGTGACTAATGTGGTTTGCCTTATAACACCTGCACCTTTAAAATACGGGGTTCAAGAAATCAGAAATGATTTTTAGTTTGGTCAGAAAAATCTTGTGTTTGAAGGTTTTCTCATTGCACTTGTGAGCCCAGCTCCAAATGTCTAAATCCTTTTCAGATAATCATACAAAACGCAATTCATCCGTGTCCATCAAGATCCTTGGTACCCGGCGATCCCACGACCTCAAAAAGTATGGATATCAAATTCACAAGGAGTCATCCAGACGTCTGTTTCAATGTACTGAACACCTGGAAAAGCTGAGTTTCAAAATTCCAAAAGTTTTGGAGAGCAGTTAATCAGTAAGAAAGCTAACTGAAAAATTTGGTATCATCTATAGATAACTTTTACCAGGAAGAATAACAGAATTATAGTTTGTAAATCAGTGAAAAAAGCTGTACATTTTGTTTTTTAGGTCATCCGACTACAAACCTAAAGGACACGTTGTTTGTCCCAGGCATCATCCAATAAACTGCCTGATAAGAATGCCTCAATCACAAACTAGAGCTATGTCCGAAATTCGAAAAATACCTCAACCTGAACCGATTTCAATTTTTTAAATTGGAAAAGATTCAAAATTCTCTGAAGAATTTCTAGTAAAAGTTTCAGGAAGTTTTGATAATTTAGAAGATGTGATTCTGAGGTTTTAGGCGATTTGTACATTGTGATAGGTCCGTGTGATGTTATCAGTGACCATTTTCAGGTCGTGACTAGGTTTCTGTATATAAGGAATCAGATGAAAAAAATGGAGTAGAAAGCTCCATTCGATTCGTCTCTACTAACTGAAAAATGGTCTGCAAGTGTGTTGAGTTTCTCATTTATTTGTTTTTCTGTACTTGTCAAAACATCTCTTTTAGTCCACGGTCATCAAATTTGTGGCTAATTTTTTCCTATTTTCAATTCTTCATTGACATGTATGAAGTTACTATAATTCCTTTTCAACGACTCTTTTTTCCAGACTGCAAAAACCAAAAGTGTGCCTGTAACACCACTGACAAAGCATGCTGACTGCTCCGAGAGCAAATGCTGCGAGCAGTACTGCTGCTCCACTGCCGCTAACAAGAAGTGCTGCAAAGCTGGATGTGCCAGCGGATGCAAATGGGCCAAATGAGAGTGTGCTCATTAAATATGGATCCAAAAGGGACTACAACGCCTACTAATTCTATTCTTGTCAATCGAAAAATTGAAATGAAATTATTCTCTTGTTAAAGATTTTGTGGGAGATTCCGCACCACTACCGGATACGCTATTCGGTCGCAAAACATTTTGTTGAAAATCAAATGATGCAACAAAAAAAAAGATTCTTGAACTTTTCTCAAACGGCTTTCTTCTCATTCTTCTCCTCAATCTCGTACAAATCAGTGATCACTTTTGTATTTGGACGGGAGAAGCTGAAATTCTAAAATTCCAAAGGTTCATAATCGAGTACGGTACCTCATCTTGCACATAACCCAAACCGAGATCACTGACAAAAACGTCATATAAATGATGGAAATTGGTGCGAGACGATTGGTGTCTGAATTATTTTGGAAATGGCTACAGTAACCAATTTTAGAAAATTCCTACAGTATAAAAATTGTTGAGTGTCGTTGAGGTCAGTGGAGAGAAGAATATATAAATAAAAGATGGTTGTGAGGACCAGTTGGATGGACTGAAATATTTGTAATTTAAATGCTGAAAGTGGAAAATTCAAAACTACCGCCAAAATTCCGCATGCACCGAAAACTCGTCTATTTTCAGGTTGAACCAGAGCGAATATCAATCCATAGAAAACCTGAAATCAAAATCAGAATTTTACTTTTTCTTCTAAGAATTCGATTACCGAAAACACAAAAAATGAGAGCATGAACAGACAGTTTTCAAATTTTGTATTTTTCGGATCTGGGCTCATGTACAAAAAGCAAGCATCAGCCAGAAAAATAACAAATTGTGAGATATAGAGAATCGAATAACCAACGCTGAGCATTTCGTAATTATTCTGAAATTTGGGGACTAGTTTGGATTTTTAGGCCAGCCACATACATTGAAGGTTACCCGAAAAAGGTTCTCGTAAAATGTCGTAATTCTGTCCAAAATTCTTGACATTTCAGTTTAAGAGTTTGAAAATCCAAGTGCAAATCGAAACTTTCCAAAAGACACGCAGAGCAATCACTCCTTTAAAAAATTGACATTGAGAATTTGAAACAGTGTCACGGCAAAAACTTTGGGTCAGAAGCTTTTAAAACTCTGAAATGTAAGAAAAAAACAAAGATTCGAATTCAAAAATCCTTCAGGTTCTAGACGATTTTTTAATACTACAGACTAAGGTTCCGTTTCAAATTGTTCATTTATGAAATGCCGGAATCCGGAATGTGGAGACCGGAATATGGAATCCGATATGTTGAATCAGGAACTTTGTAACCGAAACCGGAATCCGGAATCCGGAATTCGGAAACCGAATTCCGAAATTTGGAAACCGGAATATGAAATCAGGAAACCGGAATATGGAACCCGGAATGCGGAATCCGGAAAGCCAAATTTGGAAACCGGAATTCAGAATCCGGAATGTTGAATCAGGAACTCGGAATCCAGAATCCGGAATCCGGAAGCAGGGCATCTCTGCTCCTCGCTACTAAATTACTTTTCGTTGTATAGTAATACTTTCACCAATTCGCATAAAAATCATCATTCGACCCTTTTGATGCATTTCAATCATAATTGAGTAAAGTCAATGAATTTCAATTTGAATATTTTGGCAAATGACTCTTTCGACTTTTAGAATTTTTAAATTTTTTTGACGATCAACTCTTTTGAATTTTTGACGCTTTTGATTATTTTGAGGCTTGAAAGTTTCTGATTGTTCTGTGTGAAATTGAAACGAATTATCAACTTATCGTCAAAAGTTTCAAAAAAACATTTGAAACGGAACCTTACTACAGACAAAACAGTGCAAAAATACTATTCCTAAACTTTTGGATTACAATATGCAGACAAAAATGATGATGGGCAAACTGGATGGGGTCAAAGATCTATAATTTTCTAGAAGAAAGTTCAGGAAAACAGAAAAAAAGGACCCGTTTAGAAAAAAACAAAAAATGAAAATACAGTTTATTGAAAATCAAATGATGAACCAAAAAAAATTCTAGAAATTTCTCAAACTGCTTTCTTCCCATTCCTCTCCTCAACCTCGTACAAATCCGTGATCAATTTTGTGTATGGACGGAAGAAGCTGAAATTTTCAAAGTAAAACAATGGTATAATCTAGTACGGTACCTCATCTTGCACATCACTAAAACCGAGATCACTGACAAAACCGTCATATAAATGATGGAAATTGGCGCGAGACGATTGGTGTCTGAATAATTTTGGAAATGGCTACAGTAACCCAGTTTGAGAAGCTCTTACAGTATAACAATTGTTGAGTGTCGTTGGGGTCGGTGGAGAGAAATATATAGAAATAGTAGGCGGTTGAGAGGACCAGTTGGACAGACTGAAATATTTCTTTGTAATTTAAGTTCTGAAAGTTGAAAAAAATCGAAATTACCGCCAAAATTCCACAAGCACCGAAAACTCGTCTATTTTCAGGTTGAACCAGAGCGAATATCAATCCATAGAAAACCTGAAGTCAGAATCAACATTTTAATTGTTCTTCTAGAAATTTGACTACCGAGAACACATGAAATGAGAGCATGAACAGACAGTTGTCAAATTTTTTATTGTTTTTATCCTCGCTAGTGAAGAAAAATATTGCATCAGCCAGAAAAAGAATCATTTGTGAGGCATAGAGAATTGAATAACCAACGCTGAGCAATGAGTACTGGTTCTGAAATATGGGGACTAGTTTGGACTCCTAGGCCAGCAACATACATCGAATTTTAAACCAAGACGGTTCTCGAAAAAAGTCTCAATTCTGTCCAAAATTTTTGACATTTCTGTTTAAGAGAGTTCTAAAAATCCAAGTGTAACCAAATGACACGCAGAGCAATCATTCTCTAAAAAATTGGATGAAGAACTTAAAAACGTTTCACGTTTTTTGAAAGTAGTCGATTTTGACTGTCTCAGAAATCCTGGAAATTACGCTGGATAGGTCTGACATTTTCCAGGTCTACTAATCAAAAATATAACTTCAATTTTGTAGTTGACAACTTTTTTGTACCTGTTCATTCGAGTGACATATACCGCTTGAAAGTCTGAACTCAACGCTATTTTTTTGAAGTCCAGGCACTTGGTCGGTTTCAAGCGGTTCATCTCATTTGTATGAATTTATTACAAAAAGTTGTCAATTACAAAACTAAAGCACCGTTTTCGTTTAGTAGACCTGGCAGTTTTTAGGTTTATCCAACAAAGTCCATTAATGTTTATAGACATCGAAAGTCACCTTTTTTTAAAGGTGGGGGGACAGTAGATTTTTCGTAGTTTTTTTGTAGCTAGAGTATGCATTCTACCGTCACGGTGTACAACGCTTAATGTCACTCTGCGTACAGCTGTCGTCCTCGCCTTTATGTATGCAATCGGGCGTCCGCTTTATCTTTGCCCGCGTGGCTCAGAGTCGGTAGCGGCGCCGCACCCTCAATCCTCGCCTTCACAAGTTCAACTCCTCGAGGGGCATCTTTGAACGGAATTTCGAGAACATTATTTTTTTCATGTCCCCCCACCTTTAAGGAAAGAGGGGAAATGTTTTTTGGATAATTTTCCAAATTATGGACAATCATTTCTTTTCCCGACACCCATTTTCAGATCCCAACACCGTGGTGTTCTTTCAGATTTGCATCAGCCGATAAAACGTTTACACCAATAAAACCGAACACAACACCACCCGTATAATAGGCAAAAAGTGGTGTTCAGGTCGTCTTCTACTTTCGAATCCCTCTTTTTACTTTCATTCCTCTCTCCCCTCGTTCGTTTTTTACTTATTCACTTTTTAACCCTTTTTAACTTTTTTGTTGGAAAAACAAGAAAGAAACCAGTGTGTTTGTACTCGAAAGTATAACTTTTTGAAGTTTTTTTATTGATTCGGTTTCTCGAGTTTTTTGAATTTCAAAATCTATGAATCTTAAAATTTCAGTGTTCCCGAGTTTCAGTAATCCCAAACTTTTGAATTTCTGAATTTCTGAATTTCTGAATTTCTGAATTTCCGAATTTCTGAATTTCTGAATTTCTGAACTTCTGAATTTCCGTGTTTCGGAAGTTCAGAATTTTCAAATTCAGGGATTTCTGGGTTCCCAGCAAGCCACAAAACTACCTAACCATCCACTTCTAATTTTCCATTCGTTTCTCGAAACATTCCCTTTTCCGCAACTTTGCACCTTACCCCGTTCTTCTAAAACTCCGTGCGTTTCTCTCAAATACGAGTTGTTGTCTTATCATATAAAAAACCATTTTTCTATACTTTGTACCGGTCTGTAAAAAGTCTATTGTTGACCATCTGTGTAAGAGAGCATCTGATAGACACTATCAGGACAACCACGTGCTTCTTCTTAACATAGTGATAAACATTTGAAATTTGAAACTTTTACTTGTTTGGGAAAGAGGCATCAGAATCTTTAATCCTCGAAGGAACTTGACATTCGAGCTCCAAACCACTGAAAACTGTCGGAAATCATTTGAAAATTAGTTTTTTGAATATCTTATCCACCGGTACTGTAATAAGGTCAAAACCCTATTTCTCTGATTTCACATTAACTAACCCTAGTCCTTGTCCCCAACTGTAATCCCGTTCCAAAGCTTCATCACCCCCCTGACCTCATAAAAGTGACAAAAACGGTCTCGGTTAATAGTAGTAGTCGTGAAATGTCTCATAACAGTTTCAGAGACTCTCTTTTTCGCTGTAACTGATCAAAAACAGGTTTCCTTCCCTTCCCTTCATCAGCCTCATTATTCTCGAGGCGACCTTCTCGAAATTACTTGTTTCAAAATGGACGGGAATTGTTACACTTGACATCTTCTGTATGTGTGTGTGTCCTCTTCTTTTTTTTGAAACCCTGTTCATTAGGAAAATAGAGGGAGAGAGACGCAGAGAAAAGAAGAAGACTTCCCTTTTTCTGAAAGACACGAGAAGCCGACAAAAGATTACACTGTAATGGGGAAGAGGACTCAAAGACACCAATGTTGTTCGAGAATCATTTCTTGTTAGTCATCAAGCCCCCTCTCTTGTGGTTTGGTTCCATTTTCTGACATCATTTTGAATACTTAATTCGAGTGGTTTTAATTTTTTTTTTTTTTTTGATTTCAAGAGAATCTTTCAGAATCGTCCAGAATTTCTTTTACAGTCAGCAATTATGTCAATTCTGGGTGAATTGACTTTTTTGCCGTAAAATTTGGCTGCGTGCCAGTTTTTTAAATTTTCAAAACTACCGTAAGACATGTATTGGAAGGGCCGGCCTTCTATTTTTCCCAGGTAACTCCGGAGAGCCCTTTTGTTACAGAGGGCCCTTCTATTTTTCGAAACCCTTCTCGAAGGGCCCTTCTATTAGAGAGGCCCTATTATTTAATTCCCCTTCCGTGAGCTTTGTCTAAATATTTTCCTTTCGCGAATCGTTTCCGGCTCCAATTTTGTTTTGTCAAGTGCAAGACTTTCAATTTCGAACTTTTTGTTTTTAGTTTGATCCCCCACATCTTATTGTTATTGCTCTCTCCATTCCTCTAATGCCTCCCAAAATTTCTAGACACAAAAACAAAAACCAATTTCTTTCTGTCTTCTGAAATGTGTTCAACATACAAGTACGCAGTAACTCGAATAGTAATAAATTACTAGAAAAATGATCTTCGGTATTGTATCTCGTCTTCTCAATTTGATAAACCGGTTTTGTGACCTTTTACATTTCAAATACTTGGTTTTTTTCGTCCAATACAAAACGGAAATCACCTTAAAAAATCCAATTTTTTGCCGCAATCCATCTATAATCCTCTTCGAAAATCTCCCCCCGATCGGATCAAGATAACAAAACAACAACAATGGCAGATCAGGGTGAAAGTCGAGAGGTGGTGTAGTTTTTTTTGTACCTGTCTATAAGACGCAGACATCAAAAGTTGGGAAAGAGAGAGGCGAGAGATTGAGAGACGCAGAGATGGAGATGGCAGTCACGCCTAGTTGATTGAATGTGTGTTGAAAGTAGTGGGATCGACACGGCAGTTACCTACTTTCTATTTGCAATTTTTTTTCTTGGCTTTTTTTTTGTTTGGGTTATGGTGAGCAACCTCGTACGCCAATGATGATTTCTAGAAGCAGTTTGAGCTTATCAGAATGAGAATGACCTTGCGTTTTGAGCCCAATTATCTCCGTTTCTGTAAGAGATGTCAAAATGTTTCAAGTGATAAATTGTTTATCACAATAGCACCAATATTTTATCAATTGATAGATTTTCTACATCTCTTACAGTAACCGAGAGAATTGAGCTCAAACTCAAGGATCGTATTTTCTCTAATAGAAGCCCACCCAAACCGTCATTTTTAAGCTCAATTATCTCGGTTCCTGTGAAAGATATCAAAAAGAGGTTGACTGATAAAATATTTTTGAAATTATGATAAATGTTTTGTTAGGTAAAAACTTTGTGATATTTCTAACAAGAAGTGAGATATATGAGCTCAAATTCGACGGCTTGAATGGGCTTCTATTAGACGAAATACGGTACTTGAATTTGAGCTCAAATATCTCGGTTCGTGTTCAAGACATCAAAAAGTGATCAACTGATAAATTATTTCTGATATTATGGTCAATATTTTATCAGTTGACTATTTTTAGATATCTCTCATAGGAACCGAGATAATTGAGCTAAAAGTGTAGGTATCGGTTGGACTGCTATCAGAGCATTTACAGTAATTGAGCTCATTAAGTAATTGAGCTCGAGTTTGCGTACATGGTTACGTTCCATGAGATTATTTTAGGTATTTTTTTTGTTCAAAGGCGCATAGGTGGTACTATTGGCATCTCGCAGAAATCGCCTACTGTAGTTTTCCTTTTTTACTTCAGGTTCTGGAACATATTTTTTTCGGATCTTGTTCTCAAATTCATGTCAAACCTGTAATGACTAGGTCTAAAAACCTGGAAAAATTCAGTTTAGGCGGGAATTCGAATAGGTATTTTTTTGAAGAATGATGCAAAGTTTCAAAGCCTTTTTTTCATTTGTTCTTCCTCATTTTTTATGCTCATAGTCTACACACCTCCGCGGGGAAATTTCGAAAATTTTTCTTCATTCGAGATTTCAAACTTCCCATAGATACCTATCCGAACATCTATAGTAACTCTCAATTTACTAAAAATTCCGGTCTCTTCCTCGAATTCTCTTCACGTTTCCTCTCTCTCTCTCTCTCATTCATTTTCTATTTGTTTGGCACACTTTGCCCTCAGACAGCGGGAAAAAAAACGAGAGACAGGAGAATAGAAAAAAGAGAATAGAATCCATTTGACACAAGAAATGAGAGGAAGAGAAGAAGAAAGAGCAGGCACTTTTGAGCTTTTAGGTGTGCCATTTTCCTTTCCCATCTGAATAATCTTTCTTGCAGTATTTGGAATGGCTTAACACAAGATTACCAAGTGCGCTCCATTTGTTATTCTATCTCATCATTCCACCACAGAGAGAAAAAAGACCTCATGTACAATGACACCACCTATTAGCATATTTCTTTCTTCCGCGTATTCAGAAGGTTCTTCTTGTACTACTAGTCTTTAACTACCAACTGTATACATTTTTCTGGAAAAAGCCATCCTCATTCTTCCGGCCGCTTCATTCTCTTCCTATACACACCAGGCAGAGAAGTTAGTTGGAGGGCTTAAGCAAATAACAATAACAGTGGGAAGATTCACTTCATTTTTTAGGTGCTTTGGCTGAGAGATTTCGGTTGAAATTACTTTCTCATAAAAAAATTCTTGCGGGAAATGTTTTGTTATCCGTCCATTCCAGCGAAAAAAAAAGAAAAAAAAGAAAGAAAACCTAAACCGTACTCCTTTAAAGGGGCATTCTTCGACATAGAAAGGTTTCGACACGAAACCGCCGCGAAATTGTTAATTTATTCTTTTTCTAGCGATTTTCCATTATTTTCCTTCGAAATTCTCTCTAACTCAATCAATTTTTTTCTGTAATTTTTATTTGAAAAAATTTCCAAGAATTGCTTTGAAAGGGGGATTTTTTTGAGGTTATTCTCGTAAAAAACAGTTGTAAAGGAACATTCTCGGGAGAGCTAGGGTCTTGACACGATATTACCGAGAATGGTCAAAAAATGCTTTTTTCGATTTCTTCAAGATTTTTCATGAAAGAGCGAAGTAAAAAAATTTATATATATATACATTTTTTGTTCTCTGAAATGTTCGCTGTTTATCGTTGCAAGCAAGACTCCCACGCTTTTGATTAGCGGTGTTTCGTTTCGATGTTTGAACCGATCCACCTGTTACCGACAAAAGCTCATGACGTCTAAAACTTCAAAAAGTTCTCCTTTTTAATCGTTCATGACAAATCGAAAAAAAGAGATGTGTCTAATCCTGTCTAGTTTTTTTCCGGACAGCTGTTGAGTTTTTCGAGATGCTTTGAGATGTGTGACGACGCGACAAAAGATAGAGAGTCATTTTAATGGTCCCATATACTTTTTTTCACTTTTCACTTTTCGGTCAAACTCATTCGGAACTGCTCACATGATCGGGAGGAGTTGGAGAAAATTGAGTTTTCTTATTGTCAATTAGGAGAAGCGAATGGAGTACTAATGAAGTTTTTAGTTGTTCCAAAGGAAACGAAGAAACGAAAAAAATTCCATTGTCTTTTCCCTTGGGATATTGAACTAATGTTCTTTACTACTTTCTTTTTTTTCAATTTAGTCGTCGACTGAAAATTTCAAGAGTTTTACCAAAATCTGAAGGGTTTTGTTGAAAGAAAAAAAACGTTCGCAAGAAGTCAATTGAATGACCTTCTTCTTATTTCTCTTCAAATTGTGCCTTCTCTCCTGCCATTCAAATTCATTCGTAAGACCTTCTTTGGGGTCGTCGGGGGCGCGTGATCATGATCTTCTTAACAATGGGCCCCCATCATGCAGAGATTTCAAAAGTCATGAACTAGGCTCCGCCCATTCATTGCCATTGTTCTACTGATATCTCTAGTTTCAATCTACTTCAGTAGTTATGGTGATCGGCATCTCGCCACCTTTTCTCTCGAAAGATCTTCTCATCTGATGGTGGGCGAGAGGGTCACGATGGGGCGGGAGTTTTTTGTCGAGAGTGTCATTTACTTGTCGTTCTTTAGTAGGTTGATCTTAGTTGTCATGTTTCTTGCGTCTTCGGTGAACTGGTTGTTTTAGAGTAGAGGTCAGGTATACCTAGAATCTGTGTACTAGATCGAATTTGATATTTTTAATTAGTAAGGAAGAGGCTCTAGTTTGCTCTTTTATTCTTGCAAATTAATCCTCCAAATGTCAGATTTCTTGGAAAAATCGAGCCGCACCTTTTCCTGATCTCTCTCTGCTCAGAAGTGAGCGTGTGAGCTTTTGAAATCCCCAAGCAGTAGATCTCTCTATTTTCTTGAAATTTCTACATAATTTTTTCTTTAAGGTTATCGAATTTCTTGACACGATTAGGTTATTTTTTGAGCTCTCAAAATTTTGCTTTTTGACAATTTAGCTCACCACACGGCGATTTTTCTGGAACGTTTTTTCAAATAAATTTTTCCCGCGCCTTTTCCGATGGAATGCAGGCATAAAACCGTAGAACTCGGTGGTTTAATTCGAAGCTTTCGTGTCGAGACCGACGTCTTTTTGAAAAATTAGCATTCGAGCGCATTTACATTACTTCCTCCGGTAAAAGTGTAATTAGAATACATTTTTTTGGCGCGAAAATTTGTTTTTTGACAATAGCGAAATCCTTGAAGGAGCATTTATTTTTCGTCATTCTTTTCTGGCCAGTTTTTTCGATTTTTTTTTCGGAATCAGAGCTTTCTACAATATGTCAAAGGCGCATGGCGAAAAGTTTTCTTGCGGGTCTCGAGCGGAATTACTTTTCATATTCATAATTTTCTTTCATTTTTTGCAGCCAATTTTTCGCGCTTTTTCATATCAAAATTCCGGAAATTTTAAAAATAAGGTGAAATCATTTCAAATAACGTCCGAAATGCCCTTCCTCCCTCCCCCACTCATCCATCTTCGTTTTCCCGTTTTAGCCTTCAAAAACGTCGGAAACCCTGCGCCCTCTGACCTATTCCTTATTAGTCACAGAGGTTCAATAGTGTAATTTCGATTTAAAATTCGTCATTTGGTTCTAGAAAAGTCAAAACATACACAGATTTATTATCTATAGACATGAATCTGGTTACAAATCCCTCGATTACGTAGTGTGGGAAATTTATATATTTTTTGAAATTTGATCGAGAAAATAGGCGGGATTTTAAAGTCTTTAATTTTCGAAAATTCTAAAATCTTTCAAAAATAAATGCTAATCCTCTGGTCTGCTGGCTCTCTCCCTCCTAATCCTCTCCATGGCAACGTCTTCTTCTCCGTTTCCCCTATTTGTCTCATTTTCACGTCTTCTTGGCTAACACGGGCGAGAATACCAACACAACACGACCCATCATCAACATCATGTCTTCTTCTCTGTTTCTCTCGCCACCCTCCAAACTCTACACACTCTCCCGCACTTTCAATGTGTACTGAATGTTTTTTTGTGTTGAGGACGGACCCTCTTCTTTCCGCTTTATTTTGGCGGGTGTTCCGTTTCACTATGTATTCGTTAGTCCGAAAATAGAAAATTCTGGAAATTTCTATTTTTTTTTCCTCGCTTCAATGAATTTATGCATTTTTTCTGAATTCACATTTTTTTCCCGAAATTTCTTCACCTAAATTTTGCTCTCCTCCCCACGTGACTGATTCCTCTTGTTTACACTTTTTTCTCTGAAAAAGCAAACGCCAAAAAATTTTTTTTGGCTCTCTCTTATCTAATTCTCATTTCTGACCTAAATAATTTAGGCTAAATTTTCCAATTTTCAGCACTATGGCAACATGGACGGTACATTTGGAAGGTGGTCCGAGACGAGTGAATCATGCGGCGATCGCAGTTGGATCTAGAGTACGGCCCTTTAGAAATTGAAATTCAAAAAATAATTGTCGGCCTAAACTATAATTTCCGTTCAACAGCTGTTCACTTTCACCTTCTCCGCCGCGCTTTTTCTCGCTTATCGGTGAAAAAACGACGACCACGAGGGGAGAGGGTGTATTTTCAATAGCTGGTCGACGATATAGTTATTGACCTTTTGACTGAACATTTGGCTGAAATTGAAATTCAAGGGGACTTTTAGAAAACATGTAAAAATTAGCACTGTTTGAGTAAGCCAATTTTAAGCGTTTCAACAATTTTAGACGCTAGAAACGCTTCGTCGCTTGAAATTCAATTTTTCATTAAGACTTTTGAATTATGCACGGAAAAAATTTAAAATCCTAAAACTCATAGTTCAAACGGATTTTTTCCAGTCTGGCCCGAAAAATCTCCATTTTGGAGCTCTTTTTCGAATCGTAACAATTTGAAGTTTTGCGCCGAGAGAGCGTGAGAAGTTAAGAGACGGAGAGTCAGCTGTGCGTATAATAGTCTTAAATCGTGCCTTGTAAAAAACCTCAACACCTTGTAAACCCAGATTATGATGAAAATTTCAGGACAGTTTTAGAGTAGCCTATCTAGACACCACTGACGATTTCAGAACGCGCTCGCTAGTTTCACCCGAGTTATATCAGTTTCACTACCAAAAATCGTGTTTTCCAGTGCAAAAATAAAGATTTCCTTCGCTCATTGGACGTTTTAGAATATGATATTTGTTGTGTTATACTTAGAATTCAATGAAAAATAAAAATTCTAGAAAATGTCTGAAATACGAAATTTCATTGAATTCAAAGTATAAACAACAAATTTCATGTTGTGGAACGTCCTATGAGCGGAGAAAATCTCTGATTTTGCACTGAAACAACGCGATTTTTGATACAAAACTGATATAACTCGACTGTAACTGGCAAGCGAATTCTAAAATTTTCAGAAGTGTGTAAATAGACTATTCATAACCTATCTTGAAATGTTCATAGAAGTCTGGGTTTACATGTGTTGAGGTTCCCTTGTAATGATTTCAAAGTCTGACGATATGGAAACACGCGCCGAGAGAGCGTGTGAAATTGAGAGACACAGAGCTCCAACAGCTTTTCAAACTTCATAGAGTCTGTTGCTCAAAACCCCCCCCCCCTTTTATCAGTCACTTTTCAGGTGTACACATTCGGCGGCTACTGTAGTGGCGAAACGACCGACCCTCGTGATCCAGTCGATGTGCACGTTTTGGATACCCGTACGTCTTCTTCGTTTTTGATCTTTTTCTTCTTTTTCAAAAAAGAATTCCTTCGATTTCTGACCGTAAAACCCCTACTAAAAACATGTGTTTAGTTGATTTGATAACCGATTGGTTTCGTTATCAATCAAATGGGCCAACGACTATCGAGAAAAAAATCCTTGTCAAAAATAGAACCGGTTTACAGAAAACTTCCGATGGACCAAATTGAATCCTTGCTATATGCATGAAGACGCAGTCTGCTCTCTACAGGAAATTCACGCGAAATCGGCAGGAAGTGAGAAGTTGGGCGGTACGGTACCGTTTCAACGATATGGGCATACGGCAGTGGAATATGATGGGAAGGCGTATGTGTGGGGAGGACGAAACGATGATTATGGAGCATGTAATATGTTACATGAGTACGATCCAGGTAAGAAATTGGAGAAAAATCTATCATTTTGCACGTTTTCTAGCTATTTTCAAAAATTCTTTCTCGGTTTTCCGGTTTTTTGTCCGAAAGTTGATGGAACGGTGTTCGTGAAGTTTACTGTAGATTACTGTAGAAAACTTTTGTCTGCATTTTGACGTGGTTGTGTTTAAGGTTTCCATTCGGTCGGGAACTCACTAAATGCCTCGTTTGTCGTGAAATGAGATGCTTCGTACGCAAAAATTCGTATTTTCATGCGCATATGCACGAAATCGGCCGGCGCGGTCGTCTTTCGGTCGGTCGGCGGTCGGCGATTTTCGACCGACCGAAACAGAAGCCTTAATTGTGTTTGCAAATTTCAAATAAAAGTATTCAGAAAAATCAAAAAAAGAATTATCAAAAATAGCGGAAAACCCTTTTTAAAAAAGTATAAAAATTTTGCAGAAAATCATAGAAAATCCCCTTGAAATTCTGATTTTTTCAAAGGAAAAATTTGCTTTTCTATGTGAAAAATGACCGCGAAGCTTCAAAAAAAACTCTAAAATCGACTTGTAATCAAAAAGAGTTGAAAATGAGCTGATAATCAATTTTAAGACTGCGAAAAATTGGAAATAAAAAGCGAAAAAAGTAAAATTATTCAGGTTTTTCTGAGTGCAAAACTTGGATTTTTACGAAATTTTCAGTTTTTTAAGGGCTGAATTTCACATGCTTTCCGTTACAAAAACACCAAATTTTTATATATCGAAAAACAAAAAATCAAAGAACAGAGATAAAATCAAAATAACAAAGTTTTTAGGCCCAAAATTTTTACCCATTTTGCAGAAAAGAACCTCTGGCGAAAATTGGAAATCAAAGGATTCATCCCACCGGCACGTGATGGTCACACCGCCTGCATCTGGAATCATCAAATGTACGTGTTCGGCGGTTTCGAGGAGGACACCCAACGATTCAGTCAGGAGACGTACGCTTTTGACTTCGCCACCGCCACGTGGCGTCAGATTCACACCTCCGGAACGGCACCGCTTTGGAGAGACTTCCACACGGCGTCGGTGATCGATGGCGTCATGTACATTTTCGGCGGCAGAAGTGACCATAATGGTCAGGTCGGTGATGAGCACTTGGTACGTGTGCAGTGAGACTTGGCAGTTTTTCTTTGGTTTCTTTAGGCTATTAACACATTTCATTTGGGATTTTATGAAGGTGTTGGTGTTATGGAAAAGCTCTGAAATTTGTTATTCCGGCACATATAAATCGCTGTGGAAGAGAAACGGCGGTGGCCGTGGCCGAAGGTCTCAACTACCGTACCCTGAAATATTTTAAAGTATCTTTATCTCATTTTTCGACCGTTATCAGTCAGTTTTTTTTCTCGACGAAAATCAGTGAAAAGCTAGACAAAACTTCCAGAAAATAAAATAAAAAAAATTAGGTTACGGTAGTTGTCGTTGTGGGACCTCCGATTTCTTTGTATCAGAATAATAGAGCATTTTCACTCTTTCTATTAAAAATTGCTTGCTTTGCACGAAGACTGTTGGCTTTTGAACTACACGGCATCTTCATTTGAAGACGTCGTGTTCCAGGGTTACAGAGATTCTAGAATATGATAGAAATTTCGATTCTGTATACCCTGTTCTCTAACATTCCCTAACTCTTGGCTGGTTGGAGTGGTGTGGTGCTTTCTTCTTTATTTGAAACTAACCGTTACTCAACATATGAATTTCTACGGGAGGAATCCTCCCGAATCTCCCTCATAACTAACCCAACCCCTTATTCAAAACGGAATTTCAGTTCCACACAACACAAGATCTCTACGATGACTCGCTGATGGCTCTCGATCTCGAAACACAGGAATGGACAAAAGTCGAAGCGAGAAGTTCATGTCGTCCAGGCGGAAGACGTAGTCACTCGACATGGGTCCACGGTGGAAAGATGTACATGTTTGGTGGATATTTGGGAACACGAAACAAGCACTACAATGAGCTCTACTGTTTCAATCCCAAGGAAGAGTCGTGGAGTGTCATCGATGTTCGCGGCACGTATCCAACTGCCAGACGACGTCATTGTTCGGTGATTTCCAGTGGAAAAGTGTACATTTTCGGTGGAACCATGCCAAACCCATCCACGTGTCATCCATTGGCATCGCCGAATGCGTTTAATGGAAATATCTCACCAAGTGGACTGTCGGATCTCTCCGATCTTCATGTTCTTGATTTCTGTAAGTATTCTGTGCTTTTCGAAAGACTCAATGCGTTCTAGGCTAACATCGTGGCCTAATTTTTGCTGAGCTTTCCAGGCCACCATGGTTAATGGCCTAGAAAATACACCAGGGGAATGTCAGTTCGTTTCTAGGTCATAAAAGTTGGTGGCCTAGAAAATTCAACTTGAAAAAGTTAGTCCATCATGTCAAAATGGCCTAGGAATCCTACTATGTAAATATCAGATCGTTTCTAGCCCATAAAAGTGCATGGCCTAAAAAATTCAACTTGAAAAAGTGATGTTAAATGACCTAGAAAACACATCAGATGCATGGTAGACCATTGCTGGACCATCAACTACGGTGGCCTAGCAAAATCATGTTCAGAAATTTAGGCCACTCTATACTCCTTAACTCACCATTCTTTTTTCAGTGCCCTCACTAAAAATGCTCGCGATGCGAACCATCATCAGTGACCCCGCCCACTCACCGTCCCAAATGTTCGCTTCACTTTCAAACGAACTTCCCGCCGATCTCCGATATGAAATGTACTGTCAGGTGGCACCGAACAACGTGGCAAGCAGTGGACCGTTTAGAGTGGATCAATCTGGATAAGGCATTCTAGAAATGTACATTTTATATATTATACCTGTACCCTGTATCTATAGAACCCTACTCACTTTCTTCTTTTTCTCTCTCATCAAAAACCCCGTTTTTCCATCTTTTTTTCCTCTTCAAACGGGTCCATTTTCTCTGTTTTCCACTCTCACTCTCACTGACATTTCTCTCTCTGTAAAATCCTGTACGTTTTTTAGAAAATTATAGATCTTCAACCCTCCACCCAGTTTGCCCATCATCATTTTCGTTTTGTCTGTACATTGTATCCTTGGAATTGTATTTTTGCACTGTTGTTTGTCTGTAGTATTAGAAAATCATCTACAATCTGAAGAATTTTTGAATTCGATTTTCTTTTTTTCTTATTTTTCAGAGTTTTAGAAGCTTTGGATCCTGGAATCAATAGGCAAAAAGGTTTAACAAAATAATAATTTCATTCCAATTTCAAGTGACAAGAATAGAATTAGTAATCGTTGTGGTTTCTTCCGATTGGATCCATGTTTAATGAGCACACTCACATTTGGCACACTTGCATCCGCCGGCACATCCAGCCTTGCAGCACTTTTTGTCAGCGGCAGTGGAGCAGCAGTACTGCTCACAGCACTTGGTCTCGGAGCAGTCGCATGCTTTGTCAGCGGTGTTACAGGCACACTTTTGGTTTTTGCAGTCTAAAAAAACGAAATTCTAGAAACTTCCAATATGTCAGTTATGAAAAATCCTAACTTTGAAAAATTTAAAAATAATTTTCGAAAAAAAAAACAATCAGCCAAATCTTATATGTCACCAGTATTTGGACCAGTACAGAAAAACCAATAAATGAGAAACTCACCACACTTGCAGACCATTTTCAGTTAGTAAAGAACAATTGGAGCTTCCTTTCATCAGATTCCTTATATACATCAACCTAGTCACGACCTGAAACTGGTCACTGATAACATCACACACGCCTATCACAATGTACAAAATGCCTTAAAGCCTAGAAACGTACCTTCAAAATGATCGAAACTATCTGAAATTTTTACCAGAGATTCTCTAGAACATTTGGAATCTTTTCCAGTTAAAAAAATTGAAATCGGTTCAGGGTGAGGTATTTTTCGAATTTCGCACATAGCTCTAGTTTGTGATTGAGGCATTCTTATCAGGCAGGTATACTGGATGATGCCTGGGACAAACAACGTGTCCTATAGGTTTGTAGTCGGATGACCTAAAAAACAAAGTGTACAGTTTTTTTTTTTTGCTGAATCACAAACTAGAGTTATGCCTGAAGTTCGAAAAATATCTCAAACTGGACCGATTTCAATTTTTTAAACTGGAAAAGATTCCCAATTTTCTAGAAAATTTCTGGTAAAAATTTCAGATAGTTACGATCATTTTGAAGGTACGTTTCTAGGCTTTAAGGCATTTTGTACATTGTGATAGGCGTGTGTCATGATATCAATGTTTTAGGTCGTGTCTAGGATTCAGTATAAAAGGAATCTGATGGAAAAACAGAGAAGAAAACTCCATTCGATTTCTTTCTACAAATGGTCTGCAAGTGTGGTGAGTTTCTCATTTATTTTTTTTTTCAATTAAAAAATTTTCCAGACTGCAAAAACCAAAAGTGTGCCTGTAACACCACTGACAAAGCATGCGACTGCTCCGAGACCAAGTGCTGTGAGCAGTACTACTGCTCCACTGCCGCTGACAAAAAGTGCTGCAAGGCTGGATGTGCCGGCGGATGCAAATGTGACAAATGCGAGTGTGCTGATTAAATATGAATCCAAAAGAGAACAAAACTCCTACTAATTATATTCTTATCTAGAAATTGGAATAAAATTACTTTCTTTTTGTTAAAGCTCTGATCCCATTAGTATCAGTCATGAAACTGTTGGAAGTTTTCCCTCGATTGGAAAATAGAAGGGCCGGCCCTTATAATACAGATCTTACGATATTCGAATTAGTTCATCTACAGTAATCCTTGAAAAAACACTTAGAAGTTTTTTTACACTACTCTCTGATCTTCTCACTTTCGAATTCTATTTTCAATTCTGGTTTCTATGGAGACTTGGGAACTATGGGGCCCACTCATTCTTTGTTGACACTCATTTGTTCTTTTCGTTTTTTTAATGGGGCAAAAAAGTTCGAGGACAGCTCCAGAACATGTTCAAAATAATATTGAAGGTTTGTAATTTTCACAAAATGGTTTCTGTTCGAACTAATGATGAATACATCAATAGAAACCGAAGCCAATCTAGTAGATTGCTACCAAACTGTCCACATTAAACCCATATATCTCATTTCCTGAGAACGATATCAAAATGTGGTAAACTGACAAAATATTTTTGGTTTTATGATACATATTTTGTCAGTTTACCCTTTTTTTAAATATCTTTCAAAGGAACCAAGATAAAATGGCTTAAAGTTGAAAGTAAGGGGGCCCTTCTATTAGAGTGTTTACGGTATTTTTGTTTAATATTGTTTCAAATGTTTCTTTTCCAGAAGACCGCCACAGTGCGTGGGGAAGTGACATCGATGAAACGTTCTGTGGTCCTGGCAAGATTTGTGGAGGTATGTTAAATGCGCTCTATTGATAATATTTTATGTTCCAGACGACTGGACCCCTCTCAACTCATTGACACCAACTCCAGAATCTCAACGACGTCGTTTCAGGGAACCTAGAACACAAGATGACGTGGAAGGAATAATTACGGAGCAACCGGGATTTTTCGAGAATCATAGCATTGATGATGAGATTGCCACCATTGCTACAAATTTCGATGTGATGACTGTCCATGAAGAAAATTTTCAAGAAATTCCACCTATTCTGGTAGCTCCGGTTAGGCCAAGATCGAGGAGAAAGAAGAAGAAAAAGTTAAGAAGGAAACCAGTGGTGAAAGGTAGAAGAAGAAGGAATATCAAAAGTGGACGGAGCCAACTTTCCAAAACTGCTACTCAAACTCCCATTTTACAAAGTAGGTTTTTCTGCGTATCCAAAACGCTCAATTTTTTTTCAGAGAATCATGGAAGACCCCGACGTCATCTTATCTACGTTAGGCGAATCCGTTTTCATCAAGATCCTCGCTATCCGGCGATCCCACGACCTCAAAAAAATGTGGATCTCAAATTCAGAAGAAGTCATCCAGAAGACGTGAAGAATCGATTCTCAAAAGTCATACCACCACGACATCTGAAAGGATATCCCATCTCCGCGAGACCACATTTTCGGTATCGGGGAATTCCGAAAGTCATTGGTTGATCCTTTTTTTTTGGAATCTTGAATAAAACTTTTTTTTATTAGGTTGATAAGAAAGTTTCTTCCTTTTTTGGCAAAATTTTTGATCAAGTTTTCCTTAAAGCAGAGTGGGTAAGATCAATGAAAGTAAGGTCCATAAGCATCGATAGTTGTCTGGCAACGCTCTGGCAATTTCGTGGTTCCATCGGCCCAGAACGAGGACGGCTGCGGTTGAAAACATAGGTCAACTCCTTTTTTGTGTCACCTTTTCAATTGAAGTCTTTTCTATCAAGATGACGTTGAAGAGCCCCAAACGACAAAAGATCCGAAAGAAGGTTCGGTGAATACGATGAGAATAATTCAGCCAAACGACATGAAATTTTAGGTGACCAGTCTAGTAACGGGGGGATCTCGCACTGTCGTCCAAAAGGGAAACTTTGGTATTTTCTCCTTGTTTCGATTCGACTGCCGAAATCAATTTCTCTAATTAGGAAAAATAAAAAGTGGCAGTAATAATGGTACATTCATCTGAAAGTTCCCAGGCTCCATTCCTTTGGCAGACCATCAAACTCATAGCATCCCCTTTTCAGGGGAAATTTAGGTTTCGGGATGCCCAGAGCTAGCTCTTCATAGTCAATCAACTGACCCTTCCGTACATTGATAGAGTAACTTACACACTTATCGTCTAAAGTAATTAGATCGTCCACCCAACTGAATGTGCAAAGAAATGATTCGAGAAACATGATCATGCCTACACTGCGATCCATATCGGAGTCCTACAAAACAGTGGGTACGAATCGACCCAGTTTTTGACTTTGCCAAGAGACTTCGATCCGTTCACAATACTTGGTTGATTAAAGGACAAGATCTGTAACATTTCACAAGTGGTTTGAATTGGATCGCCCTACACTACTCTTAGCAATTGATCGAGATCCGACTCACTAGTTCATTGCCATCTTTCAAACTGAACTCCCCTGGGCGGAATTTTTCGAACCAAACGTCAATTGTAGGATATGAAGGAACATGTCCTTTATATATGTATTAGGTTGGCAGGAAAGTAACTGTCCCTTGTTTTATTTGTGAATAATACAAAAGCAGGATTAATCCAAGATTAGCAGTATGCACCGTCGTGGTCCACGACATGTTGGCAATGTTCTGATAACTTGTGGATACAATACCTTCAAAAGCCAGCTAGCCGCGAATCGAAGTATTCATTTTTTCCTGTTTTTCACATAAATGGTGCAAATTTTCGTATTCTCTAGATGAGGTTGTATCTCCCCGAATATCCAATAATCTGATAGAGCTCAGTCGGGACTATAAGTAGGTGAGGGAGAACGGTCGCGCTGAAGCTGCTCAGGTCTGACTTGACTGCAGGTAAAAAATGAAAAAACCTCATGTTCACGGAAAGTCACGCCGTACCTGAGCCGCTTTGGCTGGACGGTTCTCCTTTACCCCCGTTGAAGACATGATTCAGCTCTATCAGATCATTGGTTATTCAAAAGTATACGACGTCATCTGCAGCTTAAGGACTTTAACACAATTGATGCCTGAAAAAATGGACTGGAGGGATACTTTAACTTGCCACTAGCTGGCTTTTGGAGTGATGGTACCCACGAGTTACCTGAACATTGCTAACATGTTGTGGATCACGACGGTGCATATTGCTAATTCTGGATTATTCTTGTGTTTGTGTTATTTACTAATAAAAAATGGACAGTCACTTTCTTGCCAATCTAATACTTCCACAAATTTATTGCGGATACCAGGTGTTTGAAGAGCAAATAAAAATAAATATATAATCATGTTGCGTATGTGCAGTCGGATAGGGACCAAGAGAATCGTCATTGCTCCAACATGAAGGGAGATAAAAATTTGATACCAGTAATTGAAGCTCAAAAACAAGCCTGCCAAAAAAGAAAAAACTTTCTTTTTTAGGAAAACTGTAGAACATCCAGAAGCCTATTTTTCTCGAAATTAAACAACAGATTTAAACAGGGCGTGTTCCCAGTTTTCGAATGATGGCTTCGCGTCACTTCGGAACCGCGACACTTCGAAACCAGTCATTTCGAAACCGGTCACTTCGGAAACGTGGTAATACAGACGAATGGATAAATTTCAGACTACAAAAACAATTTTAGGGGTTTCAATATGCTTTTTCTGATAGAACACATTCTGAAATTCGTAACATTCAAGAATTTTTCTTCTTTTGAGAACATCAATTTTCGGATTCTATCGATTTTTAAAATGTGTTCTATCAGAAAAAGCATATTTCAAAACCCTAAAGTTGGTTTTTGTAGTCTGAAACTTATCCATTCGCCAGTATTACCGCGGTTTCGAAGTGTCGCGGTTTCGAAACAACTGGTTTCGAAGAGTCGCGGTTTCGAAGTGAAGCGGAGCCCGAATGATACAGGTCTCGTCCCGAAGTTTCATACCCCAGCCCCTAGGCAATACAATTTCAATTCAAAGTACTTCATTAACAAAATTACAATACCGTTAACCTGTGACCCACTTTCTGTGTGACCTCTTTCTGCCACGTGGCGAGCCACCTGTATTTACCACGTGCACTAGTTGACTCTTAATTTGGGTACTAGTAAGGACTTTCACTCTTTTCCCTGGATTTTATCTACTTTTACCCCTGTTTACCCATATTCTCTGTCTCTATTAAATATCTAAAAATATTAAAATGTCGTTCTCCGTTGAAGTTTTTCCCTCAAAAGAAGATGTTATGACAAAAAGTGATATAGAGTGTCGGGAGCATGCGGAGATTCTCAGGTAATTCCGTCGTTTAACATGACATGGAGTACGTTTTTCTACAGTAAGCAACTATTTCTTTTCAGAAGCATTGGAGATTACTACATTGACCCGGATTTCCTTCACACCGCTGGTTCTCTTGGGGCAATTCTTGACCAAGAAGCTGACAAACAAGTATTCGACGATCTCCATGAGCCCTGGTATCCACCGCATTACCTCAGTGACTATTTATACAGGAACGATAATCATGCGTGGCACATTTGGAATGATCCATGGCCATTTCATGTGTGTCAAGCTGGTGTTGGAAATTGTTGGTTGATGGCTTCATTAATGGCGATAGCACAGAGGAAAGATATTCTGGAGATTGTACTTCCGAAACGAGATTACGCGTTGGATTGTGGACTGGTACAGGTTAGGTAAGTGGATTTTGAGCTTGGCTCCTGATAGAAGATATATGTCAATTGAAAATTTTCAACAACCTTTTCAACAAAATTTTGACATCCCTGGCATGAACCTGAGAATTCCTAAACGCCGAAACATTAGAATGTCTATCCCTAAACCATAAACTTTGCGCCAGCTTATCTCGTTACCTGTAAAAGATATAAAAAAAGTGGTTCACTAACAAAATATTTTTGATATTATAATAAACATTTTATTAGTTGACTATTTCTTGATATCGTTAACAGAACCCGTGACGTATGGGTGCAAAGTTGACGGTTTAGGTTGTCTATTACAAGCTTGACGGTATTCAAATTTTCTCAATTTAAGAATTACTTCATTAATTGACAACTTTTTGACATCTCTGGCATGAACCTAGATAATCGATAAATATTCCAGATTGTTTGTTGATGGTCGATGGCAAGTGATAAAAATTGATTTTTACCTTCCACATGAGAATGGTATTGAGAGATGTTCAAAAATGCCAAAAAAGCAAATGTGGGTGGCAATGATCGAAAAAGCGTATGCAAAAGTGAAAGGATCATTTGGAGGGCTGAATGGAGGACAATCTCATCTTGCGTTCAAGTGTCTCACTGGTAATATAATGTTTTCAGCATACTTTAATCGGATCGGGCCCGGCCAAAACCTGTATCAATTTGAAATACCGGTCCCTGATTTTTTCAGCATGGTTTTCAGCTTTGTATGCTAATATTTTCAGGTGCGGGGGGTAAACAAATTATGATCAATAAGGACACAAACACTGAACAGCTCTGGGAGGATCTTATAAAATATTAGTTAGTTTGAAGTTTTGTTGAAATACATAATCCCAAAAATTTTTGCCAGCTCTTGTGGAAATTTGTTAGCTGCTGGAACCCCTAATATCAAAGATAACGAAGAAGAATTGAAGCGATATGAAGCTATTAAAATTGACTATAACCATGGATATGCAATTCTTGGCTTCAAAGAGCATAATGGATATCGATTGATCAATTTGGGAAATCCCGGTCCCACAAAATTCACTGGACGGTTCTCAGAACTTCCTGGATACGATGACAGAGGTTACAACAGCTGACTACTCTAAAACCTTCAACTTCACACTTCCAGAAACCGTTTCGAACTTTTGCCCAGTAGATTATTATTTATATCATCACAAAATTTTCTGGATGGATATCGAAGATTTTGTGATTTTTTTCACCCATTACTACGTTTGTGAATATCGTCCGGGGTGGGAGGATTATAGTATGAGGCAGAAGATTAAAAGGGTTTCTGGAAAAGATACTCAGTGAGTTGTGGACTTCTTGGATAGATTCAAAAATGAACATTCATTCCAGAGTTCTGCGTTTGGAAGTCCACGAACGTTGTGAAGTTATAGTAGGCACAATGAAACATTGTAATGGTATCGCGGTCAGTGAATTGTTTTTTGTTCTCTTGTTATCTGTGATTTTCGATACGTTCGCAAGACTTTTTAAAACATTTTCGAACAGTGGCCTAACTTTCTCAATATGATTTTTTTAGGTCAACGTTTTCTATGCCATGCAGAAATGGTCTAACATGCACTTTATCTGCTTTCTAGGTCATTTACCATGGTGGCGTAAGTTTAGCAGCTTAAGTTATCTAGGCCACCAACATCTATGAGCTAAAAATGACTTGATATTCAGTCTGGTTTGTTTTCAAGGCCATTGTAACATGGTGGCCTAACTTTTGCAAGTTGAGTTTTCTAGGCCACCATTTTAATGATCTAGAAATAATCTGATATTCGCCTTGTGTGTTTTAGGCCGTTTTTATATGGTGATCTAGCTTTTTTAGTTCAGTCTTCTAGGCCACCAATTTTCATGATCTAGAAGTTACCTGATATTTCCCTGGTGTGTTTTCCTTGTCATTCAAACATGGTCGCCTAGCTTTTGCTAGATGAATTTTCTAGGCCATCGACATTTACGGACTTTAAATCACCTGATATTCCCTTCGTTTGTTGTTAGGTCATTGCAACATGGTTGCCTGACTTTTCCAATTTGCGTTTTCTAGGCCACCATGGGGAATGACCTAGAAATGATCTGAAAGTCATCTGGTGCCTTTTTTAGGTCATTTTAAGACGGTGGCCTAACTTTTTAAATTCAGTTTTCTAGGCCACCAGCTTTTTCTGTTCGAAAAAATTGGAAATTTACCATTTTCGAAAAATGCGCTGATCTGAATAACATTTTTTTTTCCAGTACGAAACATTTCTCAACATTCACAAATCTGCTCCAAATGGCGAATGCGGTGATTTAATTTCTTCGACCCACGCCTCAGAAAACGCTGTCCTTGCGGATCCAATGTTTCTGGACCCTGGAGTCTATTTCGTAATTCCAATTTTCTACTTTGATGTCTACGAAATGGTTCTGGATTGGAAGATCACTAGCTCGCGACCTGTCACATTTTCATTTGTTCATTGTCCATTTGACACGTATCATGCTAGTTTTCTACAAGGATTGATTAAGAATGGAGAAGCTAATAGAGACGGAGCAAATGACAATGTATTCTTCTACACTTTCAAGGGACAAAACTCACTTTTTGTGGTTGCTGAGAATTTTCAGAAGCATAGATATATACGTGTGAGGTAAGTGAGTTATGAAAGTCTATTGTTCCCAAATATCCGGGGTTTTAAGTGGCAAAGTATCATCACCATCTTTAAAACCAGATGAAATCAAGGGTGAAATGGGATTTAGACTTTCTTGGCCAGTGCCTCCAATGAGAGCTGGTCTAATTGGATTCGTGAGATGTTCAAAATTATCCACATCCAAAATTTACATAAATATCCAATACTCTGTCCGTTGCTGTATCTGGAAATTGTTGGATTGGATTGATGCTTTGATGCTCTGCATGTGCGATTTAGACAGAACACTTCATCTAGAAGATCGGACGGAAATCGAGGAAAAATCAGAATGAGCTGAAATATTTATTTTTTTGTTTTTGAATAGTTTTTAGTAACACTTTCAATGAATAAGGTTTTTCAATAGAATTCATGGTTTTCGTTTTGTTAAATGGTTCAACAATAACTTTTTTAAATAGAGACCCGGTTAAGAAATTTGTCAGTATTCTGGAATAAATTAAAAAAAGGAAATTGAAACTTTTCAGTTTTTCGTCTAGAATTCGAGAAATATTGTAGAATTGCATGTGATTTTTTGAAACTTTCAGATTGTGATTCCAGAGCTCCAGTAGTCCACAAGTCCCAGATTTTCAAGAACCTTTGTTTTTGAAGAGATTTCCAGATCTAATAAACGAGATCAAAGTTTTATGTATGAAAAAAATTTGTGCAAAAAAAGTGGAATTTTTAACACATCCATGTTTGAATGTGCCGATTGATAAACATTTGGTAGCTCTGCTCGGCTCTCAAATTGCACGTATCACGGACTTCTTGAACTGTACAACTGCTGATAGCGGTGAGTTTAGCGCACTTGACAGCGGTGGTTCCCTGGAAATCCAATAATTTTTTAGCGTTTTCTGATACGGTAAACTTCAAAATACAACACTTTAGTTTTTTTGAAAAAATTTCAGTAGCTCTCAATAGAACAGGAACGAATCAAGGGGAAGTCTATGGTGTCGTTTTTCTTAATAGTTTGATCCTATAATTTTAGTCCAAGTATCTAAATTCCTGTTTCAAATTCTGTAATTGTCTTCCACAACTTAACTGTTTAGAACTCACATTAAAACTCATAATAGTCTCTGTAGCATTATCAGTGCATGGTGTCGTTTTCGTCTCCATATCCCTGGCGCAATTCAAGAAAATCGAACTTGTCACAAATTGATAAAAATCACAGAACCCTTGAAGAATCGTAATGGAGTATGGATCGAACTCAGCGCACTTCTCGATTTCTGGGTAGCAAGTCTAAATAATATATTTCGAAATTAGGATTACTGTAGCTTGCTCACCCCAAACGTCTCACAGTAATCTTGCATGAGTGTGATGGAGATTTCATCCGTCAAACTAATGGATCCAATCAAGGCATCGATTCCTTCAAGGGCCATATAACACTGTTGAGATTGTTCTAGAGTGCCCAAGGATTGACAGGTCTCCGGGAATTTCGTAGAGGCTTTTGGAGTGGGTACGGTAGAGTTGGAAGAGTGTGCAATTATTCCGGTGAGCAGTATAGTTGAAAGTGTTGGGGCATTTCCAGGAGCAGTTGTAGTAGCCATAGCAGGAGCTACAGTAGTCCCATGAGCTACAGTAGTAGAATTTGCTGGGGCCATAGTCCCACCAACAGCAACATTAGAATTCACAGTTTCATGTTCAGAAGAAAGAACTTTTCGGAAAACGAAAAAAGCAACTAAGATTTGAAATTGAAGTCTCATTATTTTCGTTTTGAAATCTAGTTTGTTCCTTTTTTATACCTCCTACCTTGTTTTTTGTTCTCGCTGTTCAATAGTCTCTTGATTGAAAAAAAGGGGTTTGGAAAAAAATTTGGGCAGTTAATCTGGTTGTTTATGGCATGACCAAGCTGAAATATCTATTGAAATCTGAAAGTGAGATACGTCAAAAATATCTGACTCATTTTTTTTTTGAAAAGGGGGGGGGGCTCTTCGTCACTAGATTGAAGATAATAATGGCTATTGAAATATAGAAAGTCGGAAAAAAAGCACAAATGATTCACAGATTCGGTGGTGATGAGGCAATGGTGAGGTTTTATGATAAATATAATATGAAATTATAAGTTAAAAATTAAAAATAGAAGCTCACCCAAACTATTAACTTTGAGCTCAATTATCTCGATTTCTGTGAAAGATATTATAAATTTGTCAACTGATAAAATGTTTATCATACTGTCAAAAATATTTCGTCAGCTGAACCAATTTTTGAAATCTTTCACAAAAACAGGGAAAAAATGGCTCAAAGT